ATCAGCTTTGACTAGTCACAGCTAACAACATAATTGTATACAATGGGTGGCATGAAAGGAAGCCATCCATTGTATATAATTACATTGTTAACTGTGACTGGGCAAAGCTGATCACATGATACAGATGGGCTTTGATTGGCCCTGTCTGTATCATGTGACTGCCTTGACCAATCACAGCTAACAACATAATTGTATACAATGGATGGCATGATAGGAAGCTGTCCATTGTATACAATTAACATGTGATCTGCTGTGATTGGTCACAGCGGTCACATGACACTGGCAACGGTTCGGTGTAGTGATATGTCATTGGCTGTGTCCCTTAGACACAGCTGGTAACAGATCGCACCATTGCGTGGCCCCGTGGCCGCGTGAGTGGCTCGTTTAGACAGGACGTCATATGACGCCCAGTCACAACGGCGAGTGTCCCGCCCGGCCATCAATCTTCTATAGGCCAGGCTGGAAGGGGTTAATAACAGTCAATTACAATATGAGTCGCAATTGTATATGCTATTTTTTTTTTTTTTTTTGCTATTTTTTTCCCACGAAAATGGAATTACCCTTTAAAGGATAAAAAAGGCAAAAAAATGTGCATTTACTATTTTTTGTTTGGGAGCCTGTAAAGTATTGCACCAGCAATCAGCAGGAGCCATGCAGGAATCCTGAAGACCTGTCATGTCTATCTGTGTGCTTGTACCTTGTACAGGGAGACGGATACACTCTGACAGGAAGAGCCAATGAACTACATCAGCATTCAACAGCGGCAGCACAGTGGCTAAATGGTTAGCACTTCCGCCTGGCAGTACTAGGGTCGTTGGTTCCACAGCACCACCTGCCTGGAGTTTGCATGTTCTCCCTGTGCCTGCATGGGTTTCCTCCGGGTACTCCGGTTTCCTCCCACACTCCAAAGACATGCTGGTAGGTTAATTGGCTCCTGTCTAAATTGTCCCTAGTATGTGTATGTATGAATGTGAGTTAGGGACCTTAGATTGTACACCCATTGAGGGTTAGGGACCTTAGATTGTACGCCCCTTGAGGGTTAGGGACTGATGTGAATGTACATGTGATATATATGTAAAGCCCTACGTAAATTGGCGGTGCTATATAAGTACCTGAAATAAATAAATAACAGCACCGTGGTAGTTCATTTTGAAATACAAGCTGATAGCCGCAAAGGCTGTAGGAACTTGTTTTTTTCCCATTCACAGAATACTGTGATTTAATGACGTAGCCTGGTGGGTGGAGCCCCAAACAGCCACTTTTTTAAAATTGTAGCACTACCCCCTTAGGGGTTGCTGAAGATTTGGGTCACCCTATAGTTCTGCACAGCCAGGCAATACAGACTTGCATTCTGGAGACAGTAAACAGTCCTTGAGCTTGTTTTTTTTTTTTTTACGTTTTATCAGGGGTATTGAATGTGGATGGGATTGAGGGGTGTATGGAATGCCCAAGGGGACTGCAACTGAGGACAACTCCTTAGCAACTATGTACAAGTCTCTAAACAGCAAAAAAGGTTTTTTTTCCCAAGGAACTCTCCAGCCTCTTCTGATGTACCACCCCAGACCCCAGATGAATCCTTTCCTCATCCAGCCATACTGGGTGGAACCCTGGGAAAGGGGACCCAGAATCTGTCTCCTTAGATCAAACAGTCCCAGATATGGGCTAGTCAAGTGTCCCACCAGAATGCCCTCTCCCCTTATCCAGCCCTGTGGGTGTAAGAGTACTCACTCTTCCTCTCCTGTGAGCTTGTTAGATTGGTAGCTGCCTTATGGCCTTCTGCTGGTCTGAGGTTGAAAAGGTTGAAACTCTTTTCCCCTTCAGCCTGGAGGTAGGCCTCTTCCCACTGGACCCCCTCCTGCATCCCAGCCTCTCACGTCATCTTCCACCTGAACTATCCTGCTGCTGAGCAGGCTTTCTCACACTTAAAAGCTGCCCTGGCCCCATGCCAAGGATCCTGCTTGGGGTTTGGCCAGAGTCCTTTAAGTGTGCGAGGTAAGCCCCTCTTCACCCACACCCACTGAGTTCTAGAGACTTCTCCAAGTCTCTAGATCAGAGGGAGAGATCAGTAAATTGACCTTCAGAGCTCTCAACCCTGACCTGAATTTTCCTTGGCTGACTCACACCCAGGCTGACTCATGCCCAGGCTGCTATTCAGTCTTCCTAACCTAAAAAAAACTAGCTAGCACCCCCTAGCTAACTGGAGGGGTGCTACAAAAATTGTGACCCTCAGCTAGCGGGAGGAGAAGAGTGACCACCTCTCAAGGTGGGGAAGGAAGGAACCTAATGGCCACCCATCCTCCCCCTAGACTTCATGATAGGCCTGAATACAGCTGTTTCTGAATTTTTGCCCATCATCAGTGCAGGGTATGGAGACCATGGCATCTACAGAGTGGGACCCAATGGGACAGTCTGACCATACGGGGTATGGTGAGAAAGGGCTAAATCAGGGGTCTTGAAGTGATGGCTCTCAGTCAGTGGTGTATCCTCAATGTGCACTGTTTTTCTTATGTCCTGTGATCATTGGTGGAATGTACGATTTGGCTTCTGTACTGAAAAGTTTGGAGACCCCTGAACTAAAGTAATCCTCCAAAAAACCTCCACAAAACCCTCTAACCAAATCAGCGCATAGACCAGTAAAGCCTTCTCTTCTATGAAGGCTTTACTGTTCCATGCAATGTTCTTCTTATCTGCTCTTCACTGTTTTATAAGGTGATAAATATTTAACAGATCAGAAAGCATTATTCTCAGAGTGCAGCTAATAGGATTTTTGAGAGCTGCAAATAAAGTGATAAAAAGCAAGATTACCAAACAGTTGAACCGTGACTCCTCATTTTCTTTCATTAAATAAATTCATGATGTGCACTGTGCTTCTGAGATTTCAGCTGTGCTGGGAAGAAGAACATGGACAAGAGGACAGGAATGTCTTCTGGCTGTTATGGGCTAATATGAGCTTACAGTGGGTACAGAGAAGAATCGCCCCCCCCCTTTAAAAACAAACACATTTTGTTGCTTTGCAGCCTGAAATGAAGACAGACACCGTTTTTGTTTTATCCATCTGTATTTACAAGCTGGATAAAACACATCCAAGTGAAAGATATAACATCAACATGGCAGAAAAATATTTTAAAAAAATTCAAAATCAGAATCAGAGTTGGAGAAAGGATCACCCGCTTGTGTCAGTATTTTGTTGAACCACTTTTTGCTGTAATTCCAGCCTAGTCTGTTGTCTCTACTAACTTTGCACATCTAGACTTTGTAATATTTGCCCACTCTTTTTTGCAGAACTGCTCAAGTTCACTTCAATTTGATGTTGACCGTATGTGGACAGCAGTCTTCAAGTCATTGCACAGATTTTCAATGGGGTTGAAGTCTGGGCTCTGACTAGACCATGCAAAGACATTCACCTTTTTCTCCTTCAAACACTGTAGGCTACTTTTTGCTGTGTGCTTTGGGTCATTGCCATGTTGGAAGGTAAACCTTCTTCCCATTGACTACTTTCTGGCAGAGGGCAGCAGATGTTCCTCAAGAATTTGATGGTATGTTGCCCCCTCCATTTTTCTTTCTATCCTGACAATTGCTCCAGTCCTGGCTGCAGAGAAACCCCCATAACAGGATATTACCACCTCCATGCTTTACTGTAGGAATGGTGGGATTTGGATGATGAGTTGTGTTGGATTTCTTTCAGACATATAGATTAGTGTTGAGGCCAAACCATTCAAATTTAGTCTCATCTGACCAGAACACCTTTTTCCATGAGGCCTCAGAATTTTCATGGTGCATTTTTGCAAAGCTCAGTGGTGACTGCATGTGGCCTCTCTTTAGAACTGGATTTTTTCTTGCAACTCTCCCATGAAAACCACATTTGTGGAGAATTGGTGATATTGATGTCACATGCACACAATGACCACTCTTTGTCATAAATTCTTGCAACTGCAACAGTTTCCTCCTGGCTCTTTCATCCAGTTTGGAGTGGCATCTGGATCCAGGGAGAGTCCTTAATAATAGACTTCACTGTGCTTTTTGGCATTGATAAAGCCTTTGAAAGTTTTTGTATCCATCTCCTGTCTAGTGCCTTTCCACAACTTTATGGGTGCCTTGCCACCCATAGTTGATTGTTTGCTTCAGTTGCACTACCAGGGACTGAAATGCTCCAGGAAAGCTCTTGTCATGCTGAGCTAATCAAAATGACTACAGCTGATCACAGCTGAAAATCAGATGGTATTGTGTGCTACACCTGATTGAGTTTAAAAGTCATTTTTAGGAGGGGGTGATACTTTTTCCAACATAAGTGATTCTGTTTTTGAATGTTTTCATTTTTTTTGACATGTTGGTGTTATATCAATCACTTATAAGTTTCACTGAAAAAAATACAGCCGGATAAAACAAAAACTGTGTCTGTCTTTATTTCAGGCTGCAAAGCTACAAAATTTGATTATTCTAAAGGGGGGGGGGGGGGCGATTCTTTTCTATACCCACTGTACAGTATATTACAGGCTCATCCAGTACAATGTTGTGTGAAACAAGAAGAAACTTGCAGCAAACAATAAGATCATCTTTCCTGACTCCTCTAAGATGTCAAATGGTGCATTCAGATTGGCTGATGTGTAATTACTGCTGTATATTTTAGTATTTACAAATATTTTTAGCTTTTATAGGGTTTACATAAAATCATTTTTTTTTATTTTTATGTTCTATCTGGAGCACCATCTAGTATAGCCTTTCTCTACCAAGGTTCCCCAGAGTATGCTTGGGGCTGCTTGGAAGATAAGCAATTTCAGCCCCTCTGAAATCATCTCAAGTATCTATTGACACCTATAATCTTTTACCTATCTGTAAGGAGGGCGTTATTTCTACTGACCACCAATGTAAGGAGCATTCTTCCCACTGACCACCAATGTAAGGAGCATTATTCCCACTGATCACCAATGTAAGGAGCATTCTTCCCACTGATCACCAATGTAAGGGCATTCTTCCCACTGACACCAATGTAAGGGGCATTCTTCCCACTGACCACCAATGTAAGGGGCATTATTCCCACTGATCACCAATGTAAGGGCATTCTTCCCACTGATCACCAATGTAAGGAACATTATTCCCACTGATCACCAATGTAAGGGGCATTCTTCCCACTGATCACCAATGTAAGGGCATTCTTCCCACTGATCACCAATGTAAGGGGCATTCTTCCCACTGATCACCAATGTAAGGGGCATTCTTCCCACTGACCTCCAATGTAAGGGGTAATTTCTTCCCACTGACCACCAGTTTGAGGGAATTCTTCCCACTGATCACCAATGTGAGGAGACATTCTTCCCACTCATCACCAATGTAAGGAGCATTCTTCCCACTGATCACCATTGTAAGGAGCATTCTTCCCACTGACCACCATTGTAAGGAGCATTCTTCCCACTGACCATCAATGTAAGGAGCATTCTTCCCACTGACCATCAAATTAAGGAGCATTCTTCCCACTGACCACCAATGTAAGGAGCATTCTTCTCACTGATCACCATAGTGTAAGGAGCATTCCTCCCACTGACTAACAATGTAAGGAGCATTCTTCCCCATGACCACCAAAGTAAGGAGCATTCTTCCCACTAATCACCAATGTAAGGGGCATTCTTCCCACTGACCACCAATGTAAGGGACATTCTTCCCCCCAACCACCAATGTAAGGAACATTCTTCCCCCTGACCACCAATGTAAGGGGTATTCTTCCTACTGACCACCAATGTAAGGACCATTCTTCCCACTGACCACCAATGTAAGGGGTATTCTTCCCACTGACCACCAATGTAAGGAGCATTCTTCTCCACTGACCACCAATGTAAGGAGCATTCTTCCACTGACCACCAATGTAAGGGAGCATTCTTCCCACTGATCACCAATGTAAGGGGCATTCTTCCCACTGACCACCAATGTAAGGGGCATTCTTCCCACTGGCCACCAATGTAAGGGGAATTCCTTCCCACTGATCTCCAATGTAAGAACAATTCTTCCCACTGACCCCCAATGTAAGGAATATTCTTCCTAATGACCACCAATGTGCTTGCTCTAGGGGCACTCATACTTTTTTTTTAATCATATTAAATAAAAATATACTGTGACTTGTCTGTCAATTGTAAATATATGCTATATTATTATTACTTTTTTTATTTGCTGTTTTTTTGGGAGTTACCCTTTAATTTCATAGTCCATTTCAATGGACTTTAAAGAGGCAGGTAGGAGTCCTGTTTTTTTAAGCATCAATTGCCTTTTAGACCTTTTCAAAAGCATCAAATTAAGCATATCAGGCATAAAAGTCAAACATTCCCAAAAACAGAAAAAAACACCCCTCTTCTCTTGCTTTAGCACCTTCCCCTACTTTTTACACCTGCTCTCCAACATGAAGGGGCTCAAACCTTCCTCCATCCCTCTCTTACCTCAGGTCAGAAAGGTCTTCCCACCAGAAGAATGGATTTAAATGGTTTCCCCAATGTCTCAATTAGAACCTTTCTTTCAGTAAGAAAGACATAGAATCAAATCCATATTCCAGAATATCAGATTGCGGGCTTTGGGGGCAGCTTTGAATCAGCATGAAGCGGCTCAATTTCTATTCAGTGCTCCCAGTTCTGTTCTACTTCTGGCACTGCTTTCGTCCACAAATCGAACCAAAAAAATCCCAGTGAGGCAAACATCAAATTATTGGGGAAAGAAATAATTGTTGACTCCATTAATGTGTCAGATCGATTCCCCAAATCAGTCTCTGGCAATTGCTGGAGGTTCCATATCTATGAAAGTCCTTCGATCATAAACATATACAGTATTATACTTTTACCATTTACTATCACAGGCGATGAGAAAATTGATTCACAATTGGCTAACTTCAATTTTGTTACATAGTTACATAGTTAGTCTGGCTGAAAAAAGACAAAAGTCCATCCAGTTCAACCATAGAAAAAAAAAAAGTTATAATCCTACACCCACAGTTGATCCAAAGGAAGGCAAAAAAAACCCAGCAAAACACGATCCAATTTGCTCCTGCAGGGGATAAAAAGTCCTTCCTGATCCCCCGAGAGGCAATCGGACATTCCCTGGATCAACTTTACCTATAAATGTTATATCCAGTTATGTTCTGTGTATCTAAGAAATAATCCAGGACTTTTTTGAAGCAATCCACGGAGCTGGCCAGAACCAACTCTTGAGGGGGTCTATTCCACATTTTCACAGCTCTCACTGTGAAGAAACCTTTCCGTGTTTGGAGATTACATTTCTTTTCCTCCAGACGTAAAGAGTGCCCCCTTGTCCTCTGTGATGACCTCAGGGTGAATAACTCTACACCGAGTTCACTATATGAACCACTGATGTATTATACACGGAGATCATATCCCCCCTAATGTATTATACATGGAGATCATATCCCCCTTATGTATTATACATGGAGATCATATCCCCCCTTATGTATTATACATGGAGATCATATCCCCCCTTATGTATTATACATGGAGATCATATCCCCCCTTATGTATTATACATGGAGATCATACCCCCCCTTATGTATTATACATGGAGATCATATCCCCCCTTATGTATTATACATGGTGATCATATCCCCCCTTATGTATTATACATGGAGAGCATATCCCCCCTTATGTATTATACATGGAGATCATATCCCCCCTTATATATTATACATGGAGATCATATCCCCCCTTATGTATTATACATGGAGATCATATCCCCCCTTATGTATTATACATGGAGATCATATCCCCCCTTATGTATTATACATGGAGATCATATCCCCCCTCATGTATTATACATGGAGATCATATCCCCCCTTATGTATTATACATGGAGATCATATCCCCCCTTATGTATTATACATGGAGATCATATCCCCCCTTATATATTATACATGGAGATCATATCCCCCCTTATGTATTATACATGGAGATCATATCCCCCCTTATGTATTATACATGGAGATCATATCCCCCCTTAATCTCCTCTTCTCAAGAAAGAATACATTCAGTTCCTCTAATTTTTCCTCATAGCTGAGCTCCTCTAGTGTAGGGTAGGAGCATAGAGGTGCCCAATATAGTTCTCCAAATTGGCCTTTAGATAGTGCCATAGTCAGGGTTGAAAACCCTGTAGTGAGAGTATGCAGTGTAAGTGCCTAGGTAGCCAGTAGAGGTCCCCAGAGTAGTGATTGGGGTGTACCATAGATAGCTAGGAAGTGCCAACCCTGCCTCTGCCAGTGTGGTGGGGCATCTTGGATAGAGGGCTCTGTATAAAATAGTCTGGCAGGACCCGTCTGGTATGGGTTGGTCGCTGGAAGCAATGCAAGGACCAGGGCAAAGATGTAATCTTTAGGGATCTAGCTTCTAGGAGCTTGCCCTTTTGGGAAAAGCAAGGAAGGAGAGGTGCAGGACTTATGGGACTACTCACATCATGGGATGCAGGACTTTGGTGGACCCCTAAGGTATGAGATGCTCCTAATCTCAACTCTTTTCTCTGCTGTTTTTCTGTTCACAACTAAGAAATGTGCCCTCCTCATTAACATGTGAACTCATCTTTCTCCTAACTTCAGAGTGGGAATGTCTTCAGGAAACAAAACATATGCTGGGTGAAGTTGATATTGGGGTCCATGACCAAAAGGACCATGGGACCAAGGTGGGATTATGATGTAAGCAGGACTTTTATGTGGACCCTGATGTAAGGGTTGACTCTGATGTAAGGGGGGAACTTTGATGGGGACCCTGATGTGAGGGGGTCTCTGATGTAAAGAGAACTTTTATGGGGACCCTGATGTAAGGGTTCACTCTGATGTAAGGAGGACTTTTATGGGGACCCTGATGTAAGGGTTCACTCTGTTGTAAGCGGGTACTTTGATGTGGACCCTGATATGAGGGGGACTCAGATATAAGGAGGACTTTTATAGGGACCCTGTTGTAAGGGTTCACTCTGATATAAAGAGGACTTTTACAGGGATCGTGATGTAAGGGTTCACTCTGATGTAAGAAGGACTTTTACGGGGATCCTGATGTGAGGGGGGTTTCTAATGTTAGGAGGAGTTTTATGGGGACCCTGATGTAAGGGTTCACTCTGTTGTAAGAGGGGAATTTGATGTGGACCCTGAGGTGAGGGGGACTCAGATGTAAGGAGGACTTTTATAGGAACCCTGTTGTAAGGGTTCACTCTGATGTAAGGAGGACTTTTACAGGGATCCTGATGTAAGGGTGCAATCTAATGTAAGAAGGACTTTTATGGGGACCCTGATGTAAGGGTTCACTCTGTTGTAAGCGGGTACTTTGATGTGGACCCTGATGTAGATATAAGGAGGACTTTTATAGGGACCCTGTTGTAAGGGTTCACTCTGATGTAAGGAGGACTTTTACGGGGATCCTGATGTAAGGGGTTTCTAATGTTAGGAGGAGTTTTATGGAGACCCTGATGTAAGGGTTCACTCTGTTGTAAGCGGGGAATTTGATGTGGACCCTGATATGAGGGGGACTCAGATATAAGGAGGACTTTTATAGGGACCCTGTTGTAAGGGTTCACTCTGATGTAAGGAGGACTTTTACGGGGATCCTGATGTGAGGGGGTTTCTAATGTTAGGAGGAGTTTTTTATGGAGACCCTGATGTAAGGGTTCACTCTGTTGTAAGCGGGGAATTTGATGTGGACCCTGATGTGAGGGGGACTCAGATGTAAGGAGGACTTTTATAAAAACTCTGTTGTAAGGGTTCACTCTGATGTAAGGAGGACCTTTACGGGGATCCTGATGTGAGGGGGTTTCTAATGTTAGGAGGAGTTTTAAGGGGACCCTAATATAAGGGTTCAATCTGATGTAAAAAGGACTTTTATGGGGACCCTGATGTAAGGGTTCACTCTGTTGTAAGCGGGTACTTTGATGTGGACCCTGATATGAGGGGGACTCAGATATAAGGAGGACTTTTATAGGGACCCTGTTGTAAGGGTTCACTCTGATATAAAGAGGACTTTTACAGGGATCGTGATTTAAGGGTTCACTCTGATGTAAGGAGGACTTTTACGGGGATCCTGATGTGAGGGGGTTTCTAATGTTAGGAGGAGTTTTAAGGGGACCCTAATATAAGGGTTCAATCTGATGTAAGAAGGACTTTTATGGGGATCCTGATGTAAGGGTTCACTCTAATGTAAGGAGGACTTTTACAGGGACCCTGTTGTAAGGGTTCACTCTAATGTAAGGAGAACTTTTACGGGGATCCTGATGTGAGGGGGTTTCTAATGTTAGGAGGAGTTTTAAGGGGACCCTAATTTAAGGGTTCAATCTGATATAAGAAGGACTTTTATGGGGATCCTGATGTAAGGGTTCACTCTGTTGTAAGCGGGTACGTTAATGGGGATCCTGATGTCAGAGGGGACTCCTATGGGCTCAAGTTTATTTGGAATTTCTTTATTTTTTTTACTGAAATTGTTTTTCTCTGTTATTTTAAATCATACAACACTGTATAACATGGATTACAAAAAAAACTAAAAGTAAAACTTATTAATTCATTTAAATTTTATTTGTTAATTTATAAAACTAATTTTTTTTTTTTGTCCACAAATTTATATAAACTATACAATGTGGCCCCTGTACTGAAATGTCTGGAGACCCCTGGTCTAGGGGACTAAACTATGCCAGTTAAGGAGTGAAGGTGCTCTGTCACCACAAGACTGAGCATGTGTAGGACATGCAGCTCAGTACGTGGATATGTAGCTACACAACATTACTGATCTCCCCACCCCAGGGGCGGACTGACCATTTGGAAACTCGGGCACTGCCTGAGGGCCCGGGGTCAGTAGGGGGCCCCATGAGATGCCCCTGGTACCTTTTTAATAGGCTTTTTTGAGTTTGGGCAAGGACACAGGGCCCCCATGATCCCCTATTGCCCGGGGGTCCCATGAGTTGTCAGTCCGCCCCTGCCCCACCC